TCAAGGTGTTTAGGCAAGATGTTTGGTGTTATACTCGTGAAGATGTTTGAGGTGATGTTAGTTTTGGTTCATAACAAGGGAGATGGTGTAAGTCAACATAAACCATCAGATCTGAGATTCGAGTCGTTATCCAATCAGCTGAAACAACGTCGCTTACTCGTCCCCATTAGAACATAAGAATGGAGGAAACTGCAGAGGGCCATACTGGACAGTCCCATTTACACCCAATCCCTATTGCTCATATATCCATCCAACCTATGTTTGAAGCTATCCAGCGTATTAGAATTAATGATGATATTTGGTAACTTGTTCCACTCATCCACTACTCTGTTTCCAAACCAATGTTTACCTATCTCGCCTAAATCTAAATTTGTCTAATTTAAAACCAACTTTCTAAACCACTTGTTGACATCATGAAACCCCACGTCAGTAGACTCTCACCCCCTCACACACACCTTACATTCCCTGGGCGGACCAGCATTTTAGCTTAAGGTTCGAGTAGGTAATATTCCTACAATTCCTTAAAAAACAAAATCGAAATACATTCTTCCCCCGTCACACTGCCCCCCCACGTTACACGTCACCCCCACGTTACACTCCTCCCTCGTCACCCCCCACGTCACACTCCTCCCTCGTCACCCCCCCACCTCCCGTCACACTCCCCCTCCCCTCTCCTTTACACACTGTCGCCAGAATGGAAGGGCTCTATTACTCAGCAGAGTCGTCACATCCTTAGATGGTATATACACACTAACTGACCCCACCATAAGAGGCTGCCCTATACAGCTCATACAATATACATTATTTTTCATTGTATTTCGTAAGATGGGATTCACTTGGGAGGATTCTGATGTTGTTGTTAATTTTTGTTTTCATTTTTATTATTATTATTTTTTGAGGGGGAGGGGGTAGGTTAGGGGGGAGGAGGGGGTCAGGTGAGTATGAGAACCACTCTATAGCCCCCAGGTATGACCCAGGTTTTAATTAATGGGTTAGGAAGGTGGGTGCTTCTAATATACTATAGGACTAGACGTGTGTCTGTCTGTGTGTGTGTCTGTTCTGGGCAGCCGAAACGGCACAATCGTTTTTCATCAAACTTGGTGGAAAAATCGCAAAAAAATCGTAGAGTGGAACAAACCTGGTCCCATGTCGATGGTTTCTTTAGGAAGGCATTAATTAACCATTTTATTTAAGACGGAAAACGATGCAAGTCTACGGACTTGGCGCACCCTCATTCGCTGTACACTGCCAAAAGCGTCCAAACTTTCACAAGGGCACAAAGGGCCTGCGATCACTTGTCATTAGCTATGGCAGGTATTCACAGACCAATAAACACACACACACACACACACACACACCTCAACAAACCCACGTCTTATGGATTTACCTGACGCAGATCAACAGCCAGGGCATGACTCACACAACACACACACACCTCCTTCACCACCCCCCAGCCAGGCAGCCCAGTTCAGTTCCATGACTGTACCTGACTTACTGCTCCCACCACCACCAGGTATAAATGTATACATGACTCAGACAGGTTAATGAGTTGGTTAGCTGGAAAGTTTTAATAAGAGGCTGCCATGCACAGGCCAACCGGCCTATTGCAGACTCCTTATTTTCTTATGTTCTTATATGCCCTGCCTCCCTCCTAGGTGCCCTTCCTCCCTCCTAGGTGCCCTGCCTCCACCCTAGGTGCCCTGCCTCCCTCCTAGGTGCTCTGCCTCCCCCCTATGTGCCCTTCCTCCCTTCTAGGTGCCCTGCCTCCACCCTAGGTGCCACGTCCTTTCTCCTAGCTCAATCCTGGCAGCATGGGGCCGGATACCTGGTGAGTCCGCCCCGTCTGGCTGCAGTCTCCTCTGTACCAAACACTTTCACGCCCCCACCCACACCCCCGCCCACGCCACCACTACTACAAAAACCACCACGGTCACTACCTTCACCATCATCACCACTATCACCACCACTACTCACAGGAGGGGGGGGGGTTAGAGGAGGTTACAGGGGGACGGTGGCAGAGTGGTTTATCCTACTGGGGAAGGGTTTGTACTCACCTGCACTGGTTCGAGTCTACATTAAACACCTATGAGATTGGATCCTCTTAGATGTGAAATGGTACCCTTAAAGATACGATTGGATCCTCTATATGAAAGAGAAGTGTCAGGAGTGTCAGGAGGGGTCAGGGTGGGTACAGTCAGACGTCAGCACCACTGGCACCCCTGACTTCCACCGCCGTTGATAGGACACACACACACGCACACATCGTTACGTTTAGGGAGGGCCAAGAGGTATCGTTTCTCCACGCGGATGAGGGCGTTGCTACGGCAGGTGGGACAGGTGGTCTGCCTAACTCACTGTGCGAAAAGACGGTAGAAATATTTACCTAGGGAGGAATACTCTGACCTGACCTTACCTGACATAATTTGAGCTGACTTGACTTGACTTACCTTACCTTACCTTACCTAAATTTAACTAACACTTACCTGACCTACCTGACCTGACCTGACCTGGAACATCACCTGGGCTCTCACCTGGTAAGAAAAGGTTATAACATGAATCACCTTTGACATAATAATAAACAAGATGACTGCCGTGTGTGTGTGTGTGTGTGTGTGTAAGTGTGTGTGTGTGTGTGTGTGTGTGTGTGTGTGTGTGTGTGTGGGTGTGTGTGTATGTGTGTGTGTGTGTGTGTGTGTGTGTGTGTGAGGAGTGTGAGTGTGTGTGTGTGTGTGTGTGTGTGTGTGTGTGTGTGTGTGTGTGTGTGTGTGTGTGTGTGTGTGTGTGTGTGTGTGTGGGAAGTTATAGTAAGGAAGTAATGAGTAGGTCCAGCTTTCCCACCCTCAAGGTGTATGACGTCAAGTTGGTGGCCGGAGAGGGCCGGCCGGGCCAAACAGAGGCTGACCCAGTGGAGCCTTGGCCCTTGTCTCTCATAACTGGCCCTCCTCCTTGACCCACTTACTTGGCCCTCCTCCTTGGCCCTCCTCTTTGGTCCTCTTCAGTGTCCCTCCTACTTGGCCCTCCCCCTTGGCCCTCCGCCTCTCACTCACTTGGCCACTTGACCATCATGACCACCATAGTTGTTATTGTAAGTACCATCCACCACCTTCCCTCACCTGACACACCGTGGGTAACAATGGCCAGGTAGTTGGTTAATGGGGTGACAACACACCTGTACTCCAGAGGGTTGAGGACCACCTCCCCCTCCCTCTCTCCGTCCCTCCTCCCTCTTTCATTCCCTCTCCCTCCCTCCCTCCCTCCCTCTCTCCCTCTCTCTCTCCCTCCCTCACCAAACATGTCTGACGCCCCTGAGTCCACCATTAACTCCACCAATAGATGGGACTTCTAGATAGCGTCACTAAGCATCTTAATAGTCACGCATCATCTCTTTAATAAACACAAACACATCTGCCTGAAACAAGATGATTGTGTTTATGTTTATCTACGGTTGTTTATGTCTTTTATACCTATTGTTATTGTTTGTTTACACTGTTTATGTCTCTTTTTTGTTTGCATACATTCTACCACATACAACAACAACACATCAAACAAACACAAAACAAACAAATGAGAAGAGAACTTACAAACAAATTCACGACATTGAATTTCATCAAGTGTAAACAACTGCAACTGAGGTAAACAGGTGTATTTATAAACAATATTTTCCTACCTGGCTATGTCGTGGTAGGGGGAGGGGAGGGTGAGGGAAGGAGGGCGGGGAGAGGGAAGGAGAGTGAGTAAAAGGAAGAGGGAGAAGAGGAAGAGAGGAAGAGGATTAAGAGTAGGATGAAGGGAAGAAGATAGAGAAAAGAAGAGGAAGAGAGAAGAAGAGAAGAGAGGAAGAGGAGGAGTATCTTCTGGGCCAAGTTACAACTCCTAAAGGCAAGAGTTAATTTGGGTTGAGTAGAACAAGACGATGGCAGCCAAGGACCTCTTATCATCAGTCAGACGTCATGTTCCACTACCTACCGTCAGTGGTCATGTGAGCTGAATTTTGGCAACTGGTCTGAGTACTGAGAGAGATGCTTGTTGTGATTGTGGTTAGTGATTGTGGTTAGTGGTGGTTGTTAATGTTTTTTGTTGGTTATTGTTTCCCTCCGTACACGTCTACCCAATACTTGAGTCTCCCCGCCCCTCCTCCCGCCCCCTCTCCCGCCCCCTCCCGACCTATGCTAATGAACACGTAGATGGATCACCAACAATGAATGGAAAGAAAAAAAATGTATAAATTTTTGGTCATAACAGAAGATAAGGTCTAAAAATACCTCCTCCCTTGTTCTTGCCACACCTCATGTTTACAAGGGAGGGTACCAAGGCTGTTGTGATGTTGCTGTAATGTTGAAATGTTGATAAAATAATGTTGATATGGAGTTTGATCCCCTTCTTTTACTTCACCTAACACCCTCCCCTTTCTCTCACTTCCCCTCTCTTCTCACCCCCCTCCCCTCCCCTCCCCTCCCCTTCCTCAACACGGGCCAGGAGTCAAGCAACCTCAGAAGGTGTCTTGGTCTCATTCAGAGCCAATAAAAACACCGTAAAATAAGGTCACGAACGCCTCCTTTATTTAGCTCGGGGGGAGGGGGAGGAGGGGGGAGTGGGAGAGGGAGGGGAGGAGGGGGACGTGGGGGTCAGTTGGAGGTACTTTAGTGAGCATTGTGCAGTAACAGTATAGTAGTAGTTAGTGTCCAGTGGCTCTAAACACTATACAAAGTTGTGTTGAGAAAATATGACCGCAGTGGATGAAGGATTTTGACAACCCTATAGACACAACAGGTGTTCTCCTCCACACAGTGCGGCAGGGGGTGACCTACACACAGTATTAACAGGTGTTCTCCTCCACACAGTGCGGCAGGGGGTGACCTACACACAGTATTAACAGGTGTTCTCCTCCACACAGTGCGGCAGGGGGTGACCTACACACAGTATTAACAGGTGTTCTCCTCCACACAGTGCGGCAGGGGGTGACCTACACACAGTATTAACAGGTGTTCTCCTCCACACAGTGCGGCAGGGGGTGACCTACAGACCCTGCTGGACCAAGACATGGTACCGTATGAACGTGACGTCATCAGCTTCACGCGACAGCTCCTTGAGGGACTGGTGTTTATCCACGACCGTAACCTTGTTCATCTAGACATAAAGGTGAGTCATGTTCTTACCTGTAATTAGAACCAGGTGTTAGAGGGCCTGTTCTTACCTGTAATTAGAACCAGGTGTTAGAGAGGGCCTGTTCTTACCTGTAATTAGAACCAGGTGTTAGAGAGGGCCTGTTCTTACCTGTAATTAGAACCAGGTGTTAGAGAGGGCCTGTTCTTACCTTGTTCAGCTAGACATAAAGGTGAGACCAGTTTATGGTTACCTTAATTAAAGTGTAAATTATAGGTGAGGGTAATAAACAGGTAAGCATAGATAATAGCATGACACCTCCCCCTCCCCCACTACCCTGACATCAACCCCCCCCACTACACTGACACCTGCACCCCACTACACTGACACCTGCACCCCACTACACTGACACCTGCACCCCACCACTCTGACACCTGCCCCACTACCCTGACACCTCCCCCCTCAGTTATGGTGATGACCTGAGTTGTGAACCTTCGTGAGCCTTTACCTGTGTAGACGGTGAGGCAGACAGGTGAGTGAAGGTGGTGATGAGTGACGGGGCATGACAGGTAGACGGGGAGGGGGGAGGGGGAGGTGGGGGGGAAGAAGGTCTACCACACCACCACCACCACCACCACTACCACCACCACCACCACCACCACGTACATAAGCTCTCCCCAAAGGACACGTTCAAGTCACGTCATAAATACCGTGTGTTACCATGGCTACAGGTCAAGTCAGGTCAGGTCAGGTGGGTCACAGTCCTCACCGGCCAAGAACGTAAGATGAATTAGTTGTTAAAATTTGTGAGCTAAAAGGTCTGGCCCCTACAACTTAATGGCTTACATAAATTACCTTTTTTTGGGAGGGGGAGGAGGTGGGGGAGGGGGAGGGGAGGGGGGAGGGGAGGAGGTGGGGAGGAGGTGGGGAGGGGTTAAGTGAGGTTGGGTCAGAACTATAGGATTAAGGGAGGATGGTGCCTCCCCATCACTATCCCTTCCTCCCCCTCTCTCTCTCCCTCTCTCACCACCTCATTTTCCTCCTCCTCCCTCCTCCCTCACATTCACCTCTCTCCCTCACCTTCTCCTTCACCTCCCTCACCCCTCTCCTCTTCACCTCCCTCACCTCCCTCCCTCACCTCCCTCATCTCACCTCTCTCTCCCTTACCTCCCTCACCTCCCTCACCTCCCTCCCTCCTCCGGTCAGGGTGATGACTGTCTATACTCCGTCACTGTCAGCCGTCTGCCTCCGTCACTGTCAGCCGTCAGCCCAGCCTCAACAGACCTTTGCTTCCATTCTGATGCTGACGCCCCGTGGCTCGTGGCTCCTGCTGACATTAGTGCTGACGCCAGAAGGGGGGCGGTTAGATTTGGTTAGGCTAGGTTAGTTAGATTTGGCTAGGCTTTGGTTAGGTTTGGTTAGTTTAGATTTGGTTAGGTTTGGTTAGGTTAGGTTAGTTTAGATTTGGTTAGGTTTGGTTAGGTTAGGTTAGTTTAGATTTGGTTAGGTTTGGTTAGGTTAGGTTAGTTTAGATTTGGTTAGGTTAGGTTAGGTCAACTAGTCCCAGGGTCAGGTCTTGGGGTCACAGCTTCTCACTCTTAATTAGTCACGTTCTGTACTTGTTCAATACACGTCTGAACTTTCCCACGTTCATTAATCTTGACCCACTGTCTTGTTAGGCCTACTGGGGCGGGCCGAGGGGCATGCAGGGGTGGGCGGAGGTGGGGGTGAGTGGGCGGGGAAGGGTATATGGGCGTGAGAATGAGCGTCAGGATGGGCGTGAGAGTGTAATCCTGCTTTTCCTACCCGCCCAATTCTTTCTTGTCGTCTCTACACTCCCAGTCCCGCCCATACTTCTCACTACGCCTTAGTTACGCCCACGCCTCTCTAACCACGCCCTTTTTCAGGCTAATGACCAATAGCAGAGGACGGGTGGTAGTGGTGGTGGTGGTAGTGGTGGTAGTAGGTGGGAGGTGGCAGTAGTGGTGGTAGTGGTGGTGGTGGTGGGCGGTGGTAGGTAGTGGAGGTGGGTAGTAGTGGTGGTAGTAGTGGTGTGGGTGGTAGTGGTGGTAGTAGTGGTAGCAGTGGTAGGGGCTGGTTGGAGGAGGAAGGTGGGTGTTGTAAAAGTGGGAGGAGAGAGAGAGAGGGGGGGGAGAGACACGAGGGGGGAGGAGGGGGTAGTAGGGGCGTATAAGGAGTAAGTTAATAGCAGGGTAGTGGCAGTAGTATGCTGTTATTTAGTAAGTAGGCCGGGATAGAGTGGTAGTTATTTGGTGGTTCAGAGGTGGCTGCCACGGCTGGTAGTAGGGGAGAGAGAGAGAGAGAGAGAGAGAGAGAGAGAGAGAGAGAGAGAGAGAGAGAGAGAGAGACCAGAAACATTTAAAGTGGAGGGTCGTGGTAGCCAACCCTCAGACATGATCGTAGTAGCACCTTGACTGATGGATTCATTAACAACCTGTGATCTGTTGTGTTCTTTTTTCTAGGAGCATTATAAAAGAGCATTGTGAAGGAGCATTATTAAGAAGCATTATAAAGAAGCATTATTATTATGGAACATTATGGAGGAGCATTGAGAGGGAACATCATGAAGGAGAATTATTAAAGGAGCATTATTAAAGGAGCATTATTAAAGGAGCATTATAAAGAAGCCTTATAAACACCATATCAAAATGCTGGGTTTAAAAGCTTCTCTGATAGACTGAATGTGTGTGTGGGCGTGTGGGCGTGAATGGCAGCAATAAGGGCGGGTGATGAGTCTTAAGGCTGACACAGGAACCGGTATAGGACACACACACACACACACACACACACACCTTGTTGCAGCAGTAGGAGGAGGAGGAGGGGGTAGAGGGGGGGTTGAGGGGAAGAGGGGGGGTAGAGGTAGTGAGACAGGTAGAGAAAAGCCTCCTTAGCACAGTAGAGAGTGAAAGACGTGCGTGAAGGTTTCCACGTTAAGCTCTGGTGATGAAGAGGTGTGTAGTTCCTCTCCTCTCCTCCTACAACTTTATTTCTCATCATCATTGAGAGACAGACAGACAGACAGACGGCCATACCCTGAGAGAGACCTGGCTAGCCCATGAGAGATCCCCCTCCCTTTCTTTCCTTTCCCTTCCCCCTTCCCTCCCTTCCCTTCCCTCCTCCCCCCTTCCTCACCCCTCACTTCAGAAGTCCTCCACCCCGTCTCTCTCCCATCCCTCACCTTCACATTCCCTCCACTCCAATCTCTCCCTCCTCCCTCACCTCCTCCATCACTTCCCCCTCCCGTCCCCCCTACCCCCACACCGTCATGGGAGGCACGTAGCACTGTCTACACCCCGACGATGGATGGTTGCCGCGCTCTCACGTGTCGGTGGAGGAGACGGCGTGACAAAAGATGTTTCACGGTATTAACCAGTAAAAGATGGGGCGCCTTTGTCTTCCTCTTCAAAGGGTTAAAGTTAAACCATCAGCCATAAAGGGTTAAACCATCATCTATAAAGGGGTTAAATCATATTCTTTAAGGATTTAAATCATCTTTCTCATGTCCTTAAAAACAGGTGTAGTACCAGAATCCTGGAGGATAGCGAATGTAATACCGATTTTCAAGAAGGGGGATAGATCACTATCCTCTAACTACCGCCCAATCAGTCTAACATCAATAGTAGGCAAATTACTGGAAGCAATCATTTCAAACTCTATTCGAAATCACCTGGAGAAGCACCGATTGGATCAATGATTCCCAGCATGGCTTCACAAGCGACGTTCTGGGCTCAACTAATTTCATTAACATTCTTTTCATCAGTTTTCGAATCGGTGATGAGGGGCACAATAATTATGATGTGGTATATCTCGACTTTAGCAAAGCCTTCGACAGAGTCCCCCACGAAAGACTAATTAGAAAGGTAGAAGCACATGGCATCAAAGGTAATATCCTTAAACGGATTAGGGCGTGGTTGCAGGACAGGAAACAGCGAGTGAGCATTAACGGCACTAAGTCCCATTGGAGCAACGTCACACGTGGAGTTCCCCAAGGCTCAGTACTTGGACCATTATTATTTATTATATACATAAACGACATAGATATCGGCATAGACAGCAACATAAGCAAATTTGCTGATGACACTAAAATAAGACGTGTTATTAAATCTGACGAGGACTCCGCAAAACTCCAGGAAGATCTAAACAAATTTTTCGAATGGTCTGAAAAATGGCAGATGAAATTCAACGTGGACAAATGTAAAGTATTCAGTATAGGAGATGTAAACAGGGAAACCAGATACCAGATGAACAACGATGCCATCGAGAAATCCGAGGGCGAGAGAGATTTAGGAGTAATGATAAGTAGGAACCTTAAGCCAAGTAAACAATGTGTTTTTGCTCGTAACAAGGCTAATAAAGTACTAGGGTTCATACAAAGGAGTGTTAGTTACAAGACTAGCGAGGTCATCCTAAAACTGTATCTTGCTCTTGTGAGACCACACCTGGATTACGCAGTTCAGTTCTGGTCACCGATACAGAATGGATATAGAATCCTGGAAAGAATTCAGAGGAGAATGACAAGACTAATCTCAAGCATTAGGAACTCGGAGCATAGAGACAGGTTAAAGCATCTTAATTTGCACTCCCTCGAGAGACGTAGAGCGAGGAGCGACCTGATAGAGGTGTATAAGTGGAAGTCAGGGCTAAACAAAGGGGACATTTCAAAGGTACTCAAACTATCCAACCAGGAGCGAACTCGTAACAATGGTTTTAAATTAGAAAAATTTAGATTTAGGCGTGAAATAGGTAAACACTGGTTTGGAAACAGAGCAGTGGATGAGTGGAACAAGTTACCAAATATCATCATTAACTCGAATACGCTGAATAGCTTCAAACATAGGTTGGATGCTTATATGAGCAATAGGGGTTGGGTGTAAACGGGACTGCCCAATATGGGCCAATAGGCCCGCTGCAGTTTCCTCCATTCTTATGTTCTTATGTTCTTAAAGGGTTAAACAGTCGTCCTTAAAGGGTTATATAATTTTCTTTAAAGGGTTAAATCATTATCGTCATCAAAGGGTTAAACCAAAGATGGCTATTTCCATATCTGTCTTCATGTTGTCCACTTGTGTTGTCATAATAATAATAATTAACGGCTTATTAAGATAACACGGCAGCCCGAAGGATGAAAATATACAATGAACAGAGATGATAAGTTACATAAGGTGAAGTCGGGGAGTGGGTCACTTGATTGACAAAAGCTTTCAATACAAAACATAAGAAACATAGAGTCAACATATAGATTAACTGGTCTGTAAACATTCTTGTGACCTCATTGGATGGCCGTTGTGTTGTACCTGGGTGCTAAGCCTCTACCTCACTACAGCTGCATCACGTGGTCCTGGTAGGTCCTTCAGCTCAAACAAGGGGTTGGAGATGGTGTTTCTTCCTCGTTTGATGTAGTTAGGAATTTAGAGTTACTTGCCTGGGTGGAGTAGGGAGTCCTCACTTCCCTCCTGGAGTAGGGAGTCCTCACTTCTCTCCTGGAGTAGTATGGAGTCTTTCTTGGCTTCTCATCACGTGTTGGTGGTGAGTGTACTGAAGACAGGTCCGCGTCAGGTCAATAACCGCTATAAGATGGTGTGTGTGTGTGTGTGTGTGTGTGTGTGTGTGTGTGTGTGTGTCAAAACCAAAACACGATCCCCTAATCATATTAAACAAACAGATGAACAAACACACACACACACACACAAATACCCGAAGGTCCTCTCACCGTCACCAAACACCCCAGAATCTCGTTAAGGGCGGAGACTGCATCACTAAAAATTTAAAGTGTCAATTTTTAAGGAGCCGCCCCTCTATTATGACTTATATACAAGGAAACATTATACTGAGAGCCAGACACGACGCTGAGCACTCAGATGGGGATGAGTCAGTCTCTTATAGTCACCCCTGAGAGGAACACCCCTTCATAACTCAAGCTGTTGTGAAAGAAAATGGGTACCTTGGTTTATTTTTTTTAGAGGAATCGAAAGAAAATGAGGATCAGGGTTTATTTTTTAGAGTCATCAAAGAAAATGGGTAACAATTTTTTTTGAGGAATTAAAGAAAATAATATTACTATTTTATGGATACGAAAAATAATATTCCATCATACAATACATAGACGTGACACAAGGTTAAATATTAAGTATTATTATAGAATTTACTTAATAAACTTTCTATTCGTTGTAGAAATTTACGTTACGTCTTTGTTATAGTAAAAAATTATGAAGAATTTATCCGCTTGAGTTAATATCGACGAAGATTTAACTGTTAACTATCATGAGGGTTTAACTTCCTTTGGTTAACGAGGAGGAGGGTTTAACATCATTTGAGAAGGGATTAACACCATTTAACACTGGAGGGGGAGGATTTAACACCATTTAACACTGGAGGGGGAGGATTTAACACCATTTAACACTGGAGGGGGAGGATTTAACACCATTTAACACTGGAGGGGGAGGATTTAACACCATTTAACACTGGAGGGGGAGGATTTAACACCATTTGAGGAGGATTTAACACAATTTAACACAGAAGGAGGAGGATTTAGCACCATATAACACCACCACCTTGAGTCTGCAGCTCTATGGTTGCTAACACCCAGGAGCCATCAACACCGAGCCACAGTGACTCACCTGACTGGACCAACAGGTATAGCTACTCCGTCACACCAGGCAGTAGGACAGGTGTGGGGCCTCCTTCACGCTCATTACCTGGTCCACCCCTGTCCCCCACACCCACACTACACCACCACACCCACACTACACCACCCACACCCAAACCACCCCTCACACCCATAACACCCCCCACACCCACACTACACCCTCAACACCCACCCACCCCTACATTCACACCACCCCCACACCCACATTACCCCCCACCCACCCACACTACGCCCACACCCACACTATCACATGAGAGCACCTCCCTCTCACCCCCATAGTCGGGTAATGAGTGTGCCTCCCAAAGCATCTGACATGGCGTGTGTGTGTGTGTGTGTGTTCAGTAATAATAATAATAATAATAATAATAATTAACGGTTTATTGAAAGAGCTTATGCGCTGAAGGCTGAAAAATTTACAGTCATATTATTTGGGGAATGGGTTACGAATTACAAATAATATACAAGTAAATATAAGTGGACACAAATAAGACATATAATAACTTATGGGGATCAGCTCAAACTACAGTTCATTTCAACATAGTGACAGTGTATGTGTGTGTGTATGTGTGTGTGTGTCTGTGTGTGTGTGTCATTCTCCCCACAACCAACATAATCAACAGCCAATCAGGGGTGAAGTAATTGAGGTAACTTGACCTCTAACCAATCAGCGAACCGGAAATAAAAACCTAATTAGCCAATCAGAGCTGAGGTGGGTGAACCAACTGGAGTTACAACCAGTCAGACCTTCAGACAATTCACTCCTACAAGAGCCTGTCCAAGGGGGGGCATCCAGGCTAGTGAGGCTAGTCCAGGTAGGAGAGGGTGAGGAAGGTTACCAGTCCCAGGTGGAAGGCCACCGAGGCCTCAAGTCCCTGGGTGGGTCCAGTATATGAATAAATTACTTCAATTTCTTCAACCTTGAAAATAAGAGCGAGTACTGCTGGCGGCCGGGGCAATACAGTGTTAACCCCCCCCCCACCAGTGTCTCTAGGTCGTTCTTCTGTCTACACATTACGAGTTATTTTTAAACATTAAGAGACAACCTATTGTTTCTTTATGTCCTTGGTATTACAGGTGGTGTCAGGGTGGTGTCAGGGTGGTGTCAGGGTGGTGTCAGGGTGGTGTCAGAGTCGTTGGTAATATTGCTAGTTCCACACACACACACACACACACACACACCAGGAAATGTTTCACTCCACTTCAACTGTAACTTGTGGGTACCTGAGTGGTACAGTTACTACTACTACTACCACAACTACCACCAACACTATCACTACAACTGCCACCACTAACATTACCACCACTACCACCATCCCAACCACCACCACTACCACTATCCAAAACCACTCCCACCACCATTCCAACCACTCCCACATTCATCTCTACCACCATCCTAACAACCACCACCACTACCACCACCACCACCACCACCATCACCACCACCACCACTCCATAACTCAATAATATAAAGTTTTAAATAGTTTATAAAATATAATTACTTTTTTGTTAATGTATTGATCTTAGCTCACATTTTTTTTCAGATGCAGAAATATACATACTTTGAGATGTATTAATGGTATATGTGTATTAAATTATGAATATGTATTCTTTAATTACTAGGAACATCTACCTCCAACACTTCCTAGCAATCACCAACACTCCCTCTCCAACACTCACTCCCTCTTCTCCAACAGCCACAGAACTTGGTGTTGATGGGGGAGTTTCCGGACTGCGCCGTCAAGTTGTGTGACTTTGAGATCTCCCGACTGTTGACGCCTGGTAGGGAGGTGCGTGAGATACTGGGCACCCCGGACTATGTTGGTTAGTGGCTCTACCTTGTTTATATACCTGTGTGTGTGTCTGTGTGTGTGTGTGTGTGTGTGCTAGTCAATAAGACATATATATTGTATCATTGAACCAACTGAAAGGTAAGAAAAGTCTTTAAATAAATTAGACTAACTTAGGCAATAACTGCGAAATATATAACTTGCCACAGTAGGTCAGTGTGTTGGGTGTGGCAGCGACAAGACTGAACCAACACATACAGTCTTGTCTCTTGTTATATGTCAAGTTCATCTCTCTACCGGAAATCAGGAATATAAGAAAACTCAGTATATATTTTCTCTTTATCACTTATGGTTGTCTGAGTGTCAAGTACGGAGGAATATTGTATAATCTTTATGTATACATCGAGTTAATTTCATTTCCCCAGTTCTGATTTTACGAGATGGTGTGTTTGTTGACTTGGGTGCTCAGTCCCTGTGAAAATATACTGAACCTGGCCCCCACTACCACTGATTATTATTATTGTTATTTTTTGTTAGTTCCGCCTTATATACGTAATAATCATCTCCCAAATGTCAGTGCTCCTCCTTGCTAGGTCGACGATGCTGTAGAGTTATTCCAATAAAGACGTCAGACCAGGCAGATGGTTTAATTATGATAATAACATTAGGGGCCATATTAGCATAATTGAAATCGTTGGCTCTTAGATCATCCTCATCGGCATTATTGATAAGGAAGGATCTTGGACCGAGGGATATTATTGACTGAGAGGTATATTAACACTTAGTACATATATTTATTATTGCTTTGGTGAGGTTTTCATATGTGTATTACTGTTTCTTGGATACATTTGTGTCTACTATCACCTAACCTAACCTAACCTAACCTAACCTAACCTAACCTCACCTCACCTAACCTAACCTAAACTAACCTAACCCAAAATAATTAATCTTAAGTATTCCCAAATAATTCTTTTGGGGGGTTTTATATTTCCAAACCTAAAATATTGGAATTATATATGAAATTAAATATGTTATAATTAGTTAAGACAAAAGGACTAGTTGAATTACCTGGATGATTAATTAACCACCTGTGCTTATTTCACCCTAAAGCTACCTGGCGGGGGGTTAGGTTAATCATCATCCTCAAAGAGTTAAACCACACACAAGGGTTTCACCACAGTGCCCACCTAAGACTCAGGCACTAGGACCCAGTAAAGACTCAAGCACTAAGACTCAATAAAGACTCAGGCACTAAGACTCAATAAAGACTCAGGCACTAGGACTCAACAAAGACTCAGGCACTAGGACTCAGTAAAGACTCAGGCACTAAGACTCAGGCACTAAGACTCACGAGTCGTTGGGGGGTACGAAAAATGGTGTGGTCAAGGTATATCTGTAACCCACACGAGGGAGAGCAACACTACACCGCGGGTCTTGTTAACACGACCGCAACAAGATCCGCGTTAAGCATGATGAGCCGCAAGCAACCGCAGTGCCTTTGGGGGGGTGACCTGGACCACCCACCTGTAATGATCTGACCTTGTATGACCTCACCGAGATTCTTCCTGCTTGCTTGCTTACTGGGACGGTGGTGGGGGGTGGGGTTGTCTCTGGGGTGCTAGTGGGGAGGGGGGGGAGGAGAGTCTTCTTGTGCCCGTGCTTGAGTCTATCAGTGTCCTTGAGTCTCCCAGCGTCCGTGTTTGAGTCTATTAGTAGAGACATCTCCCCAGCTAACTACTAATATCATGGCCCATATTCAGGCTTTAGGGTGCTTGCTGCAGCTCCGCCTATACCGTGTCTTGCCCCTAACTCGCCACCCCGCCACCCCTCTCATCGCCGACCCTTGCCACCCTTAACTATCCCTCAACACCGCCAACTTACCACCTTAAACCACCCTTCACTATCCCCCTTACCCGACACTGCCACCCTTAACCGCCCCTTGCCACCCATCACCAACCTCGTCACCTCCACCTTCTCCTCCTTCTCCTCGACCACCCCTTCTCCTCCTTCTTTCCTCTTCGCCCCCTTGGCCATCTCTCCTTACACCCCCTCCTCCCCCTCGTCTTCCTCTCTTTCCTCCTCCTCCTCCTCACACACCTGTCCTCCTCCTCCTCCTCCCTCCCACACCTGTCCTCATTTTTGGATGTGAAAGTGACAAGAATTTTAAACCCAGTAAGATTATAAGTAACGAAGATTAATGAGACAGCCACACCTCGTCCTTAACCACAGTGCCACACCTCGTCCTCGGCCTCAGTGCCACACCTCACCCTCGATCATAGTGCCACACCTCGTCCTTGGGCCACACTGACCCTCCAAGGCTTGTGTCACCCCTATATAAGGAATATGACTTCCCCAGCGTTAACTGCTGCAGGTGTAGGTTAGTTTAGTTCATATTATGTGATCTGATAAAACCCTGACCGAGTTGCTGCCTCAATCCACCACACCTGACCACACCATTTACTTTTGTACTTAATTATTATTTATTACTCCTCTATATCACTTATAATTTATGCTGACAAGTTTCTATTACTTATAAACCAACTTTTTATCTCGGTGTCTGTATAAGGTCTTGTAATTTGTTAGGTTAGGTTAGGTTAGGTTAGGTTAGGTTAGGTTAGGTTAGGTTAGGTTAGGTTAGGTTAGGTTAGGTTAGGTTAGGTTAGGTTAGGTTAGGTTAGGTTAGGTTGGGTTAGGTGGGTTAGGTTAGGTTAGGTTGGGTTAGGTTAGGTTGGGACTGGGTTGGGTTAGGTTAGGTTAGGTTAGGTTAAGGTTGGGTTGGGTTTTTGTTTGGTTGGGATTGGGTTGGGTTTTTGTTGGGTTGGGTTAGGTTAGGTTGGGTTCTTGTGTTTTGTTTTTGATGGCCTGGTTCACTGGTCAGTGTTCTTGTTCACCTACCTGTGACTTGTTTTCTTTACAAGGAGCTGATTGGTTTGTGTGTTACCCTGTTACTAGGCGTTGATTGGTGTGTGTTACCTGTTACAAGGGCTGATTGGTGTGTGTTACACCTGTTACTAGGCGTTGATTGGTGTGTGTTACCTGTTACAAGGAGCTGATTGGTGTGTGTTACCTGTTACTAGGCGTTGATTGGTGTGTGTTACCTGTTACAAGGAGCTGATTGGTGTGTGTTACCTGTTACTAGGCGTTGATTGGTGTGTGTTACCTGTTACAAGGAGCTGATTGGTGTGTGTTACCTGTTACAAGACGCCGATTGGTGTGTGTTACCTGTTACAAGGAGTTGATTGTGTCTTATGACAATAGTGATGATGATGATGATGGTGACAGGTAGAAGTGATAGGTATAGTGACGATAATGATGATAATGACAAGTCGAGGTAAGATGGTGATGAAATAATGGTGAACTATGAAACAATGGTGAACTAGAGATAATTAAGGGAGGCAGGTGAAGTAATACCTGGGAAACAGCTGACCTCAAGGTGTACCAAGAAGGAGAGGTCATCCTAGGGTCATACATAGACATACATACCTACATGGATGTATACATGGATATACTTTACCTGGTAGCCGTTGCCATGGAGACTACAGATGATGACACAGGTGAAGAAGAAACCTTAATTATGAGACGTGGGGAAGGGGGGGGGTAGGTGAGGGGGGTGAGGGAGAGGGGAAGGAGGAGGGGGAAGAGGGAGAGGGGTAGGGGGAGGGGGGGTGAGGGGGGTAGGGGTGGAGGAGGGGGAGGAGGGGTAGGTGAGAGGGGGGGGTGGGGATGGGGTAGGGAGGGGGTAGGGGAGGGGTAGGTGAGGGGGGGTGAGGAGGGGGGTGAGGGGGAGAGGGGTGAGGAGGGGGTGGGAGGAGAGGGGGTAGGGGGAGGGGGAAGGTGAGGGGTGAGGAGAGGGGGGAGAGGTGGGGAGGGGGGGAGGAGAGGGGGGGAGGGTGAGGGGGGAGGAGAGGGGTAGGGTGGAGGGGGGTGAGGGGGTAGGGAGGGGGTAGGTGAGAGGTAGTGAGGGGGTGGGAGAGGGGGAGGAGAGGGGGGTGAGGGGTAGGTGAGGGGGGAGGTAGGTGGGGGAAGGAAGAGAAAGGAGGAGGAAGGAGAGGGGAGAGAAAGGAAGAGGAAGGGAGAGGGAGAGATAAGGATGGAAAGAAACAGGAGAAGAGGAAGAAGGGAGAATAAAATACCCCTTGTATATTCTCCAACGTACACAGTTCATCTCACACACACACACACACACACACACACACACACACGACCTACCTCATCTCTCTTGTGTGACTCATTACTAGATGCCGGGGGGGTCAAAACCTGCTAGAGAGGAGGGGGGAGGAGGAAGGGACTCGTTTGCCCCCAGGGTGTTCAGTTAAGGGGAAGAGGAGAAAGAGGAGAGAAGGAGAAAGAGGGAGAAGGAAGGACAATCAATTCTCAACCGGGAGTAACAGAGACCATCACCTTAGCTTAGCCTGAACCAACACTCCTCCCCATCACCCCATCTCACACCCCATCACCCCATCACCCCACTCACTCACTCAGTTATCACCCCACCTGTCTGTTATAATAGTGAACCACCTCCACCTCCACCTCCCAACGCCTCCTCCCTCCACCTCCTCATGCCCTCCACGCCCTCCTCCCTCCATCTCCTCATACCCTCCACGCCCCTCCGTCCTCCGTCGATTCAAGCCCAGCCGGGTTACCTGTGCGCACCTGAGGGTTAAATTACCTCTCTTGGCTCAGGTGTCATAAAGTGCACAGGTATATATAACAGTGTGTGTGTGTGTGTGTGTGTGTGTATATGTGTGTGTGTGTGTATATATGTGTGTGTGTGTGTGTGTGTGTGTATTTTCATACTAACAAGAAAATCCTCCATCCAAAACACTTACAAACACTTAAATCTTAATAAACACTTAAGTAACAAGCAAGTGACCCATCTAAGTGAATCAGTAAAGTATACAAGTGAAACACGTCAACACGCCTCTCTTACCTGTTGCTAATTAGGGTGACAGAACCAACAGGTGTTTCTACTCTGGACTTAAACACCTGTACTGAATCTATCTCTCCTTGCCCCTTCCTTCATTAGAGTGAGCGAGCGAGTGAGTGAGTGAGTGAGTGAGTGAGCGAACGAGTGAGTGAGTAAGCGAGTGAGTGAAACATTAGAGCTAGTTCCTGGATCAACACACGTCGTAGGTAAGGGACAGAAGGGCAGGGCGAGAGGCAATGACCAACGCCCTCTATAGGAAAAACTTTGTACAACACGAAGAATTATTTCCTACACACAGTCTGGTCTGATTTCCCACCCACACACACACACACACACCCACACACACACACACACACCCCCACACACACACACACACACACCTGTACCCTAAAGCCCTGAAAAGATTATACCTGCTGTAAAACGTATACCTAAAATCCCTGAGAACTTGGGCGTGGTGGTGGTGATTATGCCCAGGGTTGGTGTGTGTGTGTGTGTGTGTGTGTGTGTGTGTGTGTGTGTGGATACCATCAACAGTGGCCCTAGAGTATGTATCTATACGTGATCTTAACTCAACCAAAACAAAACACCTGTACATACTCTGCATACCTGTGTCCATCATCACACCTGACTTAACATTGCGTGTCCTTCAATCATAAGTTAATCCATCTTAAGTGGCTTTATATAACACCAAAGGGGAGGGGGGGGGAGAAGGGGGTAAGGGAGAGGGAAGGGAGGTGGGGTGAGGGGGGGTTAGGGAGAGGGAAGGGGGGAACATTATACAGGTATCTTAATTGTTGTTGACTCCTGAGCTACTCCACCCATTTGTTTCTACCATCACCTGAAGCTTAGTACAGGTGTTCTGGTGGTGGTGGTGATGGTGATGGTGATGGTGATGGTGATGGTGGTGGTGATGGTGATGGTGGTGGTGGTGGTGGTGGGTGATAGTGATGGTGGTGGTGGTGGTGGTGATAGTGGTGGTGGTGATGGTGATGGTGATAGTGGTGGTGGTGGTGGTGGTGATGGTGATGGTGGTGATAGTGATTGCCCTCCCCTCCCCACACAGAAGGACAATTAACATATAGGATTTCGGCAACAACCTTGATATAATTTTTACTGTTAGTGAGTGAGAGGATACTATCTCAGTAGTGACGTCACACAGGTGGAGTGACGTCACGCAGGTGGAGTATAGTGGCCATACGCCAAGGTCATGGCCACTACACCCACACCACTACACCCACACCACTACACCCACACACCACACTATACACTACATCCACACCATTGGTTGTACCACGTTACAACAGGTAGGGGCCAGGTGGAGGTACAGGTAGGGGCCAGGTGGAGGCTCAGGTAGGGGCCAGGTGGAGGTACAGATAGCCAGGTGGAGGCAGGTAGCCAGGAGGCAGGTAGAGCCAGGTGGAGGTACAGGTAGGGGCCAGGTGGAGGTACAGGTAGCCAGGTGGGAGGCACAGGTAGAGCCAGGAGATACAGGGTAGGGAGCCAGGTGGAGGCTACAGGTAGGGGCCAGGTGGAGGTGCAGGTGAGAGCCAGGAGGCACAGGTAGGGGCCAGTGAGGACAGGTAGGGGCCAGGTGGAGGTACAGGTAGGAGCCAGGTGGAGGTACAGGTAGGGACCAGGTGGAGGCAGGTAGGGACCAGGTAAGAGCCATCGACCAACCAAACACAAACCATTTCATAGGTTCCTCTAAGGGCTGAATGCAGGTCACGCTCACGCCCCAAAGAGCACCTTAATCAGCTGATCCACACCTTATACAGCGCTGGGGACAAGACAGTAATAACACACAATGGCCATAAGGGTGTACTCCTATTATGATCATGTATGAGAAGAGACCGTAGGGGAAGGTTGTAGGGGAGGCGTTTATCGTGGGGGTGTTTGGTGGTGGAGAGGTGAGGGGTGAGGGGTTGGTGGTGAGAGGTGAGGGAGGGATGGTGAGAGGTGGTGGTGAGGGGTGAGGGAGGGGTGGTGGAGGCAGGTGATTCAGTGGCACAGGTGTTGCTTGCTTACACCTGGTGGACAGTAGGGGGAGAGGAAGGGTGGGTAGGGGAAGGGGTGGGTAGGGGAGGGGTGGGGTAGGGGAGGGTGGGTAGGGGGATGCAGGAGGGAATGAGGGGGGGGTGATGGGAGGGCGGAAAGTGAGACACACACACACAACAACACACACACACACACACACACACACACACACTCTGCAAATTACTGAAAGGAAAGATTTTGCTATGTACAGGTTGATCCTCCCTCGAGTGAGTGTGCGTGCGTGCGTGCGTGTGTGTGTGTGTGTGTGTGTGTGTGTGTGTCTCACTATCTACTATTGTATTGAAATCACAGCGGCGTTTATAGGTTAGAGGTTAGGTCTTGTTGGAGATTAGGTTAGGTCTTGGTTAGATTAGGTTAGGTCTTGGTTAGGTTAGGTCTTTTAGGTTAGGTCTTGGTTAGGTTAAACATGAAGACAAGGTCTGGATAGAGAGAGAGAGAGAAGGAGAGAGAGAGATAGAGAGAGAGAGAGAGAGAGATCCTGCAAGACAAGATTTATCAGAGAGAGAGAGAGTTAAGTGAAACCAAAACAGAGTGACAATAACAACAACAGAGACGATGATAGTGTCTCTCTCTCTCTCTCTCTCTCTCTCTCTGTCTCTCTCTCTCTCTCATTGTCTGTCCGTCTGTCCGTCTGTCTGTGTGTCGGCCCCATGGTGGCCCCATAAGCAGGTCGGATGGGGCCTCTTCAACAAGGTCCTGCAAGAACTAATCCTGTCATCCGCTTGGTGAGGTGGAAGGAGCGAGGTGGGTGGGTGGGTGGGTGGGTGGGGTGGGTGGTGAAGTGGGTGGGTGGAGTAGGTGGAGTGGGTGGGGTGGGTAGGTAGGTGGGTGGGTGGAGTGGGTGGGTGGGTGGGTAGGTTATTTGGGGATGGATTCTATGGAGAGATAAATAATGTATACAAAATATACAAAGCAAACTGCAACACCTCCTTCCCCCTCCCCTCCCCTCTCCCCTCCCCCTCACACACACGGTACTACAGGTAACCTCACACCCTGTCCTCCTCACCTGTAAGACACAATCAAGATACAGGTGAGGTGTTCTAGGCCAGGTGAGTTAATCATATGAATAATGACATTACCACGTGATAGGGTGAAAGCTGGGGAGGAAGGTGGGTGTGTTGAGGCTAATGCAGTGAGGGTGAAGGCCAGGAGGGCGAGAGGGGGGGAGAGGGGGAGAAGGGGAGAGGGAGAGAGAGAGGGGGTGTTTGTATACAGAAAGGTAGTGGTGGTGGAGGGAAGGAGGCCATTAACCTGTCGTGTGTGTGTGGAGGGTGGAGTGTCTCTCTCTCTCTCTCTCTCTCAGTGACTAGAGAGAGAGGGTGAGGGTTGAATGGTCAGAGAGAAAATGAGGTGGGATAGCAGGAAGAATAGGGAGGACAGGGGAGGTAAGGTAGGGGGGAGGGTATGGTGGGTAGGGTAGGGAGGGGTAGCGAGGGTATGGTAGGTAGGGAGGACAGGAGGATAGTGATCACCTCCCTGGAAGGACCTGAGGACTGGTTAGTGACATCAGGAGAGGATGTAATATCTCCTCTTCTCCTCCTCTTCCTCCTCCTCCCCTCCTCCTCTCTCCCTCCTCTTCCTCCTACTACTTCTTCCGACACACACACACACACACACACACACACACACACATCAATAACATGATAAATCAGTGTATTCACTCCAGTAAACACTGCTCCCTACACTGTCACTATGTTGAAATGAACTGTATTTTGAGCTGATCCCCATCTAAGTTACTATATATCTTATTTGTGTCACTTATGTCTTGTATATTATTTGTAATTCGTACCATTCCCAAATATAACTTATATTTTCAGCCTCCAACTCTTCAATAAACTAATTATTATATTATTATTATATATTACACACACACACACAGTCTATGGAAGTGTATCTCCATAATTCATGTTTATCTTGTGTAAGATTTTGAAGAATGTGTGTGTGTGTGTGTGTGTGTGTGTGTGTGTGTGTGTGTGTGTGTGTGTGTGTGTGTGTGTGTGTGTGTGAGTGTGTGTGTGTGTGTGTGTGTGTGTGTATGTGTGTGTGTATATATTTTCACACACATACATATCATATTTACATGATGATGATAATGATAATAATGATGATGATGATGATGATGATTATGTTGTTAATGATAATGATGATGATGATGATGATGATAATGATGATAATGATGATAATGATGTGTTGTCTCATTACAGCTCAGAGATCATCCTGTATGAACCATCACTACCAAGACGGACATGTGGTGAGTCTCAGGACCATGGGTGTAGAGGGGTGTAGGGGTGTAGGGGTGTAGGGGGTGTAGGGGGGTGTAGGAAGGTGTAGGAAGGTGTAGGGGGTGTAGGGAGGTGTAGGGGTGTAGGGGTGTAGGGGTGTAGGGGGTGTAGGGGGTGTAGGGGGTGTAGGGGGTGTAGGGGTGTAGGGGTGTAGGGGGGTGTAGGGGGTGTAGTGAGGTACAAAGAGATTTTCCTGACTACTGTGTATACTACCCAGGTGTACAGGTGTAGTGAGTGTATGGTGTGGTGTGTAGTGTAGGGGGTGTAGTGAGGTACAAGGAGATTTTCTGACTACTGTGTATTACTACCCAGGTGTACAGGGTGTAGTGAGTGTATGGTGTAGTGTGGTGTAGGGGTGTAGTGAGGTACAAGGCGATTTTCCTGACTACTGTGGATTACTACCCAGGTGTACAGGGTGTAGTGAGTGTATAGTGTAGTGTAGTAAGTGTATAGCCAGTGTGTGGTGTAGCTCAGTGGAATAAGTGTGAGGTAAAGTAGTATATTTAAGTGTGTGGTAAGTGTTGTGTTAAGTGTGTGGTAAGTGTGTGTGTTAAGTGTGTGGTAAGTGTGTGGTAAGTGTTGTGTTAAGTTGTGTGTCAAGTGTGTGTAGGTGTAGATAGTGTATTGATTATGAAGAATGATGAGTGTGAAATATTGTGTGTGTGCATGTGAACGTGGATGTATGTGTGTGTGTGTGCATGTGAACGTGTGTGTGTGTGCTCTACAACATACACTTGCCTGAGGCCCTCAACACCTCATAAATCTTGACTTACCCTCCGGTGAGACAATTGCTCACCTGTCCGGACACTTTTTATGCAGGTATTAGCATACTCACCTGTTAGTTGGTGTGGTTAACTTACCTGTGATTAATTGGATTGCAGGTATCAGAGCGTGTTAATTCAGAGTAATAGGTGTGTGATGTGTTGGTAGTTCCTATGTTTAGTGGTGGTGGTAGTGGTGGTAGGGGATAGTGGTAGGGTATGGTGGTAGGTGGTGGTGGTAGGGGATAGTGGTAGGGTATGGTGGTAGGTGGTGGTGGTAGGGGATAGTGGTAGGGTATGGTGGTAGGTGGTGGTGGTAGGGGATGGTGGTAGGGTATGGTGGTAGGTGGTGGTGGTAGGGAATAGTGGTAGGGTATGGTGGTGGTGATGGTGGTGGTAGGGATAGTGGTAGGGGTATGGTGGTAGGTGGTGGTGGTGGTAGGGATAGTGGTAGGGTATGGTGGTAGGTGGTGGTGGTGGTAGGGAATAGTGGTAGGGTATGGTGGTAGGTGGGGGGTGGTGGGTATGGGGGTGGTGGTAGGGAAGGTAGGCATGGTGTGGGGGTGGTGGTGGTGGTAGGGGGAAGAGGGGTATGTGGGGTAGGTGGTGGTAGGATAGGTGGTAGGGTATGGTGGTAGGGGGTGTAGTGGTGGTAGTGGTAGGGGGGTGGTAGGGATGGTGGTATGGTGGTGGTGGTAGGGATAGGTAGTATGGTGGTAGGTGGTGGTGGTAGGGGATAGTGGTAGGGTATGGTGGTAGGTGGTAGTGGTGGTGGTAGGGAATAGTGGTAGTGGTGGTAGATATCTAGGATGCCACAGAGAGATGTTAGTATCAATAATAACAATGTGTGTTTATGTTAACCAAACGTTCCTCCCCCACAGGTCTCTGGGAGTGCTGACCTACGTGCTCCTGACGGGGTTCTTACCGTTCGGGGGCGACACAGACCAAGAGACGTTCCTGGAGATCTCACTGGGGGAGCTTGACTTCCCCGAGGAGCTCTTTGAGGACATCTCTGCTGAGGCCATTGACTTCATCAAGAAACTATTAATTCGTAAACCACAGTACGGTGATCAGTGTGTGTGTGTGTGTGTGTGTGTGTGTGTGTGTGTCGCGGTCATAATATAATAAAAGTCTCTTCACTAGTAATAAGAGGTCTTGATTGTCACGGTAACTTGTGTATAATGTTTCCATAATGAACGACAACACTCACTCTAGTGTTGTGTTGTGTCTCTATACTGTCTTAAAGGGTTTCTCTCTCTCTCACTAGGTCAAGGATGAGCGCCCGTGAGTGTTTGGAACACCCGTGGATGAAGGCTGACCTCAGTAAAGCCAAGATCCCACCCCAACCTGTCCTCAAAACCTCCTCTTCACCTGCCACAACCTCCACCTCACCTGCCACCACGTCCATGACCCTCACAGTGCCAACGTCTGACACTCACCACACGTCCACCAGCGTTCACTCCCCCTCTCTCGTGTCAGCGCTGTCAGAGATCATCACGTCAGCTGGAGGAGCCGATCACTACACCAAGTCCAGTGGGTCCCTCAGTAATACTCCCGGAGTTCTGACGCCCACTAACACAACTCCCGCCATCCTCACGCCTAACAACACCACGCCCACGATCCTCACGCCCATGAGTTCCTCTCCCCGGGATATCGGTTTACCACCCATCCATCCTCTAAGTGGACCAAAAACCTCGGCAGTCAACTCCGCTTATTCCTCCACCAGTTCTCTCTACCGCGGAGGGTCTCGGCAGAGTCTCGACCGCGTCCGAAGTCTCTCTAAGTCTCGCGAGGTGTTGTTCGAGAGGATGCAGATGTCTAACCAGAAGAAGGCGGTCTCGAAGTCTCGTGAACGTCTCCATGAAGGAAGACTCGGCCTCTCGAGATCTCGGGAGGACTTATGGGCTCTTAAGTCCTTCTCACACTCAGAAGAAGCCCTGTCAGTGTTCGGATGGTTGAATCAAGACGACGACTCCTTGTATAAGAGCTGTACTAATGTGTTCCTCCCGATGCTGCCGATGGTGGACGAGTACCGAGTGTCTGGTCGTCTGTACAAGAGTTTGGCTTCCATCGACAAGATAGACGAAGTTGGAACGGAATCAACTCAAGGTAACGAAAGGCAGAGTATATTCGACTCCAGGTTCTCCATAAACGACGAGGAGTACAACCACCTCATCACTAAATACAACACGGCGGTTAACAGCCACCGCAAAACACCACCTCGGGGACGAACAAGTGAAAATCGACAGAGAAATACGATTCCAGAGGGACGACTCAAAGGCAACAGTCAGGGTGGTCGAGGAGACAACGCCTGCAACAAAAGGTGTTCCCGACACAGCCACCCGGAGTCTGACCTCACACAAAAGGTTCCGAAGGTAAGTCGAGCAGAGAGGATGAAGCGAGACGTACACAGACGACGTAAAGGAAAGAAAGAGAAGGAGACAATGAGGCCTGAGTCACCGCGCGTACGACAACCAAATAATGAGTCAGAGGCGTCCAGACATGTTGAGAAACCTATTGACAAGTCTTCGTGTTCCAGCCGAGCTCCGTCACCCAGTAAGAGACGTGGCTCAGTCTCCCACATTGAGCAGAGAATTCAGGAGAGACACGAGAGACAACAAGAAAAATTAGAGAGACAAGAACGGCAGGAAAAGCTCGAGAGACGAGGATCCGGGAAGGGCGCCTCTGGTACCCCTCGAAGGCGGGACTCAGGGGAAGAGAAAACACTACAGAAGGAGAAGAACAAAAACAACAAACACAGAAGCAGCGACGAGAACATCAACAGACCCAGGAGTACTTCACCATCCAAGAGGACCAAAGTAAACAAGACGAGATCAAACAGCAGTGATGCGTCTCCCGCCTCATCTCTGGAGAGCGTCAAGGAACTGTCAGACTACAAGAGATCATCACCCAGTTATAGTCAGCCAAGCGAGGGCAGGAAGTCATCAGGGGCAGCCAACGATATCATCAAGCATAAGGACAAGAGAACCGATATGGACGAGGCCTATGTGTCTCTGGAGGAGCCTGTGGATGACGGCATCTTCAGCAGGAGTGAGAGTATGGACAGCACTAACACCGTGGAGTCTGATCACACTGTCCGCGCCACAGACACCTCTTCTGACACCATAGAATTAACCTTCGCGTCTTGTACAGCGACTGACAGTGAACCCAAACAAGCGATGGAAAAGCCAATACAAATACAACTGTCTGAGAAACACGAGTTAGAGGTAGCGAAGGAGGAACAGACGCCCAACACAGAGACCCCGCCGCCGCAGGAGGAGGAGGAGGAAAAGGCAGCGACGCCGGGAAGTATTGTGGAGCTTTCAGCCATCCACGAGGAGGGAGAGGACGAGAGGAGTGTGTTCGCCAGGTCTGTCTCCACCAGCAGCGACATCGGCAGTATGATGAGCGAGAACAGCGAGGCGGACAAAGAGGACTCGTCCCCCTCCTCCTCCTCCACCAGGCAGCAGGAGACTGAACACTTGGCAGCCTTGACCTGGAAGCTTCGAGGCAGGTCGATGAGCATGCAGCCCAGCGACCCTCCGCCCTTCTCACACCTCCACCTCTGTAGGTCCAACTCCTTCAACCTCGGCATGCCCTTGGGAAGCTTCATGGCGTCACCCTGGGATGATGTGTGTGACGGCGCCATAAGTCGAGCTCTTGAGATGTTCAAGTTGAACTCGAAAGATCTGACCAAGACGGCCGGCAGGAACTTCGATGAGAGAAGACCTTCCCTCCACAGCCAATAGCAGCCACCAGCAGGAGGATGATGCCCCAGGGCTCCATAATGAGGCGTGTACAAATATGAGGTTAAACATGAGTCATAAATATATTAAAGTTAAGAACATGTGCAGCAAGAAAGGTCCATAGTCATGACCCACGAGGGCTGAGCCACTCACCAGGGCGGCGCCTCCCTCACTGACCGCTTCCTCCTAACCCAGCGTGATAACTCTACCGCCGGTCACCCACACAGAGGCTAAGCTACAAGCTGTTGGTGGTATTGTAAACAGTAAACACAAGGTGCACCGGGCATAATGTACAGTGATCGGGAAGGTGCACGCTCACGGTGAACACTCCCATAAAACGTGCACAAAGAAGTGGATACTGATGTGTGTGTGTGTGTGTGTGTGTGTGTACATAGTAGTTGTCAATGAGGCTTTTATCAATACTGTAGTATGTGATTATAATGTTTCAGGTCTTCCAGCCGTTGTTTACGTGTCTGGTGTTCGTAAAGGCGTGTGATGGTTACCCGGGCAGCTGACGCCAGAGTGCCTGGTGTATGGTAAACAGCTTTAAGCTATGTACATAATGAAACAATTCTTCAATATTTAGTTGTTAAGAATATACTGTATCGGGTACAAGGGTGATGGCTCCCCCATAACACTGTCATCCCCCTGAGGTCGGTTCATAACACTGATGTCTCCTGTATCTCTTCCCAGGGTCTCTCAGAGTCTCTCAGGGTAGAACCTCTCAGTCTCTCTCCAGCTTTAACACTCATCTATACCTTTTAGCTTTGTATTAACTCGCCACGAACAAAGTTGCTTTCAATTCACGTGTTCAGAAACTTTTGCTCCTTAATATATAGTTGATAAATAAGGTTACTGGTGCAAGCCTGTTATGTGACGTCACTGAATACATCGACAATGACGACACGAAGAGTATGGCCTATCATTCGTTGGTCATGTCATCAATGGCGTCATGGAGGCTGTGGTCTGGCAATAATTGGTCAGATCGCCAATGATGGGTCTATCTTTCATATACAAGACTATCAGTGACGCCATGTAAAAACCTATACCAATCATGAACCAGACCAACAATGACGTTATGAAGAGCCATCCAATCAGAATCAGTCCAATAACGGCATTAGAAAGAGCCAACCAACCATGAACTAAACCATGAGTGACGTCATGAAAAGCCAACCATTCATAAACCAGAATATCAGTAACGTCATGAAAAACCTATCAATCATAAACATCAGTGACGTCATGAAGAACTAACCAATCATGAGTCAGGCACACTAACCTATCACCCTGAGGCATATTTAGGTGAACTGGTGTGAGACCTGCTAGTCAGTGTACCAATAATAGCTTCCAGTGCAGGTTGTTGAGGCGAGTTGCCAGGCCCAGAACCCCACCTCACCCTAAAGACCAGTGTCACACCCTAGGCCCATTTGAGTGTGACCAACCCTAAATGTAACAGGCCAGTTTTAAATGTAATAACTCAAAAATATAATATGAATCAAATGTTAAGGTAATAAGACTTAAGACTCATGTGTTTACCTGTACGACTGATCACTTAATTACCTTTCAAGTCAATTAGTAGTGCAATTTTAGGTCATTGTTACACTAGAATATAATTTGTGTTATATTTCAAAGGTGGAATTACATTTGGTGGAATAATTACACTTACGAGATAACATTTTAATGAGGCTATTACACCTATGAGAGTAATTACATTTAAAATAATAATTACATTTAGGTGTTATCAAGGGAATTAGAGACGCGAGGTTGACCTTGGCTCTAGCTGAGGTGGGTGTTACCTGTGTAACGTTACCTGGTTATTAATTAGCTGTGAAGGAGAGGTGTAGAGGCAGCTAGAATGGGTTGGTGGAACAGCTAATACTGACCAGTGTGTACAGAGATATATCAGCTATGATGTGGGTGAGTGTGAGGTAGGGAGAGTGAGGGAGAGTGAGGGAGAGTGAGGGAGAGAGTGAGGGAGAGTGTGAGGGAGAGTGAGGGAGGGAGAGTGAGGGAGGGAGAGTGAGGAAGAGTGGGAGAGGGGAGGAGAGGGAGAGGAGGGAGAGGAGAGAGTGGGAGGGAGGGAGAGGGAGGGAGAGGTGGGAGGGGAGAGGAGGAGGGAGGAGAGGGAGGTGGGGGAGGGAGGGAGAGGGAGGGAGGAGGGGAGGAAGAGGAGGGAGAGTGAGGGAGGGAGAGTGGAGAGAGGGAGGAGGGAGAGCGAGGTGAGAGGGAGAGTACTGTGAGGGAGGGGAGAGTGAGGGTGAGGGAGGGGAGGAAGAGGGAGGGAGAGGGAGGAGGGAGAGTGAGGGAGAGTGAGAGAGAGGAGAGAGAGGAGAGGAGGGGAGGGTGAGAGAGGGAGAGTGAGGGAGAGCGAGTGTGAGAGAGGGAGAGTGACTGTGAGAGGGAGAGTGAGTGTGAGTGAGGGAGGAAGAGTGAGGGAGAGTGAGGGAGGGAGAGTGAGGGAGAGTGAGAGAGAGTGAGAGAGAGTGAGAGAGAGGGAGAGTGAGGGAGAGCGAGTGTGAGAGAGGGAGAGTGACTGTGAGAGGGAGAGTGAGGGAGAGGGAGAGTGAGGGAGAGTGAGAGTGAGGGAGTACAGTTGTCAGTCATAAGCAAGTCCACTCAGTGTTCAGCGCCTCGCCAGCTGGTGGTGGTAGAGGCTACAACACCTTGCCAGCTGGTGGTGGTAGAGGCCACAACACCTCACCAGCTGGTGGTGGTAGAGGCTACAACACCTTGCCAGCTGGTGGTGGTAGAGGCCACAACACCTCACCAGCTGGTGGTGGTAGAGGCTACAACACCTTGCCAGCTGGTGGTGGTAGAGGCCACAACACCTCACCAGCTGGTGGTGGTAGAGGCCACAACACCTCACCAGCTGGTGGTGGTAGAGGCCACAACACCTCACCAGCTGGTGGTGGTAGAGGCCACAACACCTCACCAGCTGGTGGTGGTAGAGGCCACTACACCTCACCAGCTGGTGGTGGTAGAGGCCACTACACCTCACCAGCTGGTGGTGGTAGAGGCCACTACACCTCACCAGCTGGTGGTGGTAGAGGCCACTACACCTCGCCAGCTGGTGGTGGTAGAGGCCACAACACCTCGCCAGCTGGTGGTGGTAGAGGCCACAACACCTCACCAGCTGGTGGTGGTAGAGGCCACTACACCTCGCCAGCTGGTGGTGGTAGAGGCCACAACACCTCACCAGCTGGTGGTGGTAGAGGCCACTACACCTCACCAGCTGGTGGTGGTAGAGGCCACTACACCTCACCAGCTGGTGGTGGTAGAGGCCACTACACCTCACCAGCTGGTGGTGGTAGAGGCCACTACACCTCGCCAGCTGGTGGTGGTAGAGGCCACAACACCTCGCCAGCTGGTGGTAAGGCTACACTGCCAGCTGGTGTGTGAGCCACAACACCACCAGCTGGTTGGCAGAGCCACAACACCTCGCCTCATCACAATAGTTTCAAATCAGCTTAAACCAAAGTAGCTGTATATAAAAGGTTCTTTGTGCTGTTAACGTTTTGCTCGACGGTGATTCTGGTCCTCACTTATTGGATATTAAAGAAGATGAACCACACCGAGAGTCTTGTTTCATTAACCCAACACACATATGACAGTTGTACAAGGCAGCCCCAGCAGGGTCAGTCGCTGCAGTCCATGCCTTGCTGCTTCACAAACCACGAGATTCAGAATCATGAACCCGAAGCAGTACAGTGGTTGAACCCGAAGCAGTACAGTAGTGAACCCGAACAGACAGCAGGAACCCAAGCAGTACAGTGGTGAACCGAAGCAATACAGGAGAACGAAGAAGGAATGCAGTGTGGAACCGAAGTCAGGTTGAACCCAAGCAGTACAGTGGTGAACCCGAAGCAGTACAGTGGTGAACCCGAAGCAGTACAGTGTTAAACGAAGAAAGGAACCCGCATGGTGAACCGAAGCATAAGGAACGAAGAGTAAGTGGTGGACAAGAGACAGTACAGTGGTGAACCCGAAGCAGTACAGTGGGAACGAAGAGACAGTGGGAACCAAGAAATACAGTGGTGAACCCAAAGAGTACAGTGGTTGAACCAACAGTACAGTGGAACCGAGGTGAACCGAACAGTACAGTGGTGAACCCAAGCAGTACAGTGGTGAACCAAGCAGTACAGTGAACGAAGTACAGAGGAACCTGAAGCAGTACAGTGGTGAACCCGAAGCAGTACAGTGGTGAACCCGAAGCAATACAGTGGTTGAACCCGAAGCAATACAGTGGTGAACCCGAAGCAGTACAGTGAGTGAACTCGAAGCAGTACAGTGGTGAACCCGAAGCAGTACAGTGGTGAACCCGAAGCAATACAGTGGTTGAACCCGAAGCAATACAGTGGTGAACCCGAAGCAGTACAGTGGTGTATCATTCGAAGTACAAATATATTCCCTTGACACTATTGTTAGTTATGTTTCCAAGACAACTATTCTGGACACTCACATCTGGACTCGTGGTAATGTTATGGATATTATTGTTTCTCACTGTCTCCATCAGGTTCAATTCTTCCTTGGCTCCCCTCGTCAACGCTAATCTCATCTCTCTCTATTTGTTAACCCAAGACCATGAAAACCTAATCACATTATCTCAAGATATACACAAAACACCCGACACTAAATACCTTTTATGTAACCGCATATTTAAATTTCTATAGGACTACATTACGTAAGGACTGTAGATAGAACTGAAAGATAGATCATCACAAAGAAGATTGATGATCCTGAAGCTGATGACGATTGATAACTCTTTTTTGCAATATGGAAATAAGTTCTGCAACACCAGTGGAATATATGAATTTTATTTAATGGAATTGTTTGTACCCAGATAATGACCAATAATATCATTGCAAAATTAATAAAAGCTTTGCAACACTTATTAACTATACTGTACATGTTTTACTAGATGTTGCCGTAGAATGAAGAAGATTGATATTTTTTTTTTTCGAATCAACATTTTCTAACAGGTCGACCAGGCAGAACTACCAACACCACAACGCGAAAAACAAACTATATGATACTCTCCTTATACTACTGTGATCCACCCACCCACACCCTTATCCACACACCCATTCATCTACCCACACACCCACACAAGAGCTTCACCAATCAAAACATCAGGAATATCAACCAATGATATTCGTGGATAGAAACATAAACGTTAATCCTTTACGCTCACAATAAAAACAGTGTTATGTTGGGGGTCTGTGTTAGGGCTCCACCACAACAACCACAGTACTCCCTAGAAAGCTCTCTCTCTCTCTCTCTCTCTCTCTCTCTCTCTCTCTCTCTCTCTCTCTCTCTTTAACTGCGCACTCAGCTCACCTCCTCAGCTCTCCACACTTCCTCCACGCGTCAAGTGAGCCAGACCACAGCTATATATGCTAATGTTGGCGGTGCATATTCATAAGGGCCTTTAGTGAGCGCTGTGGGCTCCTGACATTGTCAAATCAGGTCCAACTCCAACGACACCATTTGTGGGAGTAACACCGCAGAGACGATGCCAGATTACACCCCATCAACCCCACAGGTGCCCAGCGGTCATAGCCTCCTTCACCGCCACCTTCAGGCTCTCGTTACATCTCTAATCAGCTTTCAACAGTAGAGTTATTCCTTTATCGCTCGTTAAACTGACCACTAGAGTATCTTGATAGCTTAGGGACAACACACTAATGATGTTTTAACCTTTATCAACTCACCTGGGCAACACCTTAACCGTGAGATAATTACTGTCTTACCTGTTTGATGTGAGGACTCAGTTTAGTCGTTTGTGAATGTTGGTTCTTTAGTCCACAAACCTACCCAACCATCCACCTACCCATCCGCTCACAGATCCGTCGACCCATCCACCCACCAATCCATCTACCCACCCACCCACTCACCCATCCACACACCCATACACTGCTCTAAATTGCTAAAGTTCACTGAGCGCACACACAATCAAGGTCACCTGTGTGTGTATGTGTGTGTGTGTGTGTGTATGTGTGTGTTTAATAATGTACCTAACTTAGTGCCTGTATTTGAATGTGAGTGTCTGTGTGTGACTATACTGTATTTAACTGTGTGCGACTGTGTGTAACTGTTTAACTGTATGTAACTGTATAACTGTGCTAAACCACTTTTCTCAAAACAGTCATAAAGATTAACAGTCTAACCATTAACCTTAAGGAGACATAATTAACAAAACACTAAACACGTCAGCGATTATCATTCACCTGGAATTACCTCACCTGACTACATAAACACCTCCTCCTCCTCCTCTCGTCTTCCTCCCCAATTCCTTCCTTTATTCTTTACTCTTTCTCTTGTTTTTATACCCAGAGAAATCACCTGTTATTGATGATTTAGTAAGAGATAAGGTGATGTTAATATACCAGCCTCATTACCCGTGTTTGTTTACCTGTGTGAGCGGGGCCCAGGTGATACATATCTTACCTGTATTGTGGTGAAGTCGTTAGTAACACCTGAGGGAGTTGTTTAGTACTGAGGAATAAACTATCATTAACTATGACCCCTGAATCACCTAACTTGAGGCTTGGACAGGATTCAAGGTCGGCTTAAGCCTTAACAGCACAGGAGGTCGACTTCACCCTTGGACCTCCAGCCTTAACAGTACAGGAGGTCGACTTCACCCTTGGACCTCCAGCCTTAACAGCACAGGAGGTCGACTTCACCCTTGGACCTCCAGCCTTAACAGCACAGGAGGTCGACTTCACCCTTGGACCTCCAGCCTTAACAGCACAGGAGGTCGACTTCACCCTTGGACCTCCTGCCTTCACCATGACGTCATAAGCCTCAATAAACACTGAGTCTGTCTGAGTTATATGTTGACGAACTATATTTGTAGCGTAAAAAGTCTTCATTTAATGGTTGTCACTCATACACACCCCTCACACACACACAGACACGAGTTTAAACATTATCAGTACAGGT